TATTTTGTTGTCATGTCTCAGATTCATTTGTTTTAGAGAAATAGAACTAAATCTAACACATGCATGTCGGTTTAGCTATGTGAGGACCCCCAATAATTTCGAATCCGAGACAACATCACCCTGAATCGCCATCTCAACTCCACAAAATCATGTCTCCCAAGCCTCAAGCCATCAGAAATTGGAGTACCATTTTGCACATGCCACGGTAATCACTCTTACCTAGTTCAAGATCCATGGCTCTTAGCTTGCGAAAAAAAAATCTTGGCAAGTTATATTTGCGTGATGAGTCTCTGAAAAGGCTAACACGGATTTTTTTTTTCTCCATAGTAGGTGTCCGAGATGAACAAAGAGACAGAAGAGACAAAGTCAAAAAGCTTCCAAACTCACGGATCTGCAAATTGTGAGGTAGAAACCATAACCCTTTTTATTGATGGACTATGATCTGATACTTGAAAAATAACTCCTATTGTGACTGAAAATAACTCCTATCCAGCATACACCCGTGAGAAAACAAGCTGAAGCAGCCGGTCTAATAGTCCCAGAAAGCAAAATCAAACAGCAACTGTCGCGGCCTTTGTATGTCATCAAGGTAAAGATCTCGATCGTCTGCTTTTGCTAAACTCAACATTTACAAGTTCAACAACAGTTCATTAGAATGCCATATGTAACCTGTATGTACTCATATTGTTGGTCTTTATGTAGGGTATACGGATCCATGATAGAGCCAAGGAGACAGAAGTAAACACACAAGAGCAACGGAGGAAAACAGCACAGGCCGCATGACCCAGATCGATGCATCTGGGAGGTAAAATTCGAATCCCTGCAAGTGTAATTGTTGTAGATCTGGTAATAATATCTGTACTCAGTTCTGTGGTGTATGGATCTGTGATTTAATTGTGCTTCCTCCATGCATCGCAAAACTGAGCTGCAGAAAATTAACTGCTCTAAACTCTGTTTATGCGCTGGATCTACAACAATCACCCCCAAACTTGCATCTGTGAATGGCTATTTATGTTGACTGCTTTAAATTTCCAGCATAGTGTAGATGTGGTTGATGTGAACGATAGACTTGCTGCTGGGTGCAGGATTCCAGCTTAGGACGCGTTTTATTTTCCACGTTCGCAACCTGCAATTAACCAATATGCGTTAAAAATTGAAAATAAAAGTAAAAATAAAATGGGTAAATAAAATCAACTCGCAATCTTCAATTTTTTTGAATTTTTTTTTCCGTTTTTTTTTATTTATATTTTTATTGTTTTATGTATGCTTTTTTTTTTTTTTTTTTTGTTTTTTTTTTTTTTTTTGTTTTTAAATATATATATATATTAATGAGAGAATCAAACGAAAATTAAAATTAGGAAAGAGTTAGAAAAATTGGGTTGCCTCCCAAATAAGCGCTTTATTTTAAGTCTGTAGCTAGACGTTGCGGAAGTCCGGTGGCTAGATCACTGGTGCCTTCAGAGTCAAAGACTCGTATGCAGTATCGAAGGGTGACTCCACGTATGGTTTCAGCCTGTGACCATTCACCTTGAATGTGTTGCCTTGAGCCTCATTAGATATTTCAACTGCCCCATGAGGAAAGATTTTAGTAACCAAATACGGCCCAGTCCAGCGAGATTTCAATTTCCCTGGAAACAACTTTAGCCTTGAACTGAATAGCAACACCTTTTGCCCTGGCTGAAATTCTTTTCGTAAAATTTGACTATCGTGAAACGCCTTAGTTCTTTCCTTGTAGATGCGAGAACTTTCATAAGCACCCAGACGAATTTCCTCCAGCTCATTGAGCTGCAATTTACGTTGCTCTCCAGCTGAGTCATATGAAAAAGTTTTAACTCTTTAATTGCCCAGTACGCCTTATGCTCAAGTTCCATAGGTAGATGACATGCTTTCCCATAAACAAGTCGAAATGGTGACATCCCAATAGGAGTTTTATAAGCTGTCCTGTAGGCCCACAATGCATCATTTAATTTTAAACTCCAATCTTTTCGTGTTGAACCAACTGTTTTCTCCAAAATGCGTTTTAATTCTCTGTTTGAAACTTCCACTTGACCAGATGTCTGTGGATGATAAGGTGTAGCCACACGATGATTAATCCCATATTTTGCCAATAAATTAGCAAATGATTTATTTATTTAAAGTGCTTCCCCCCATCACTAAGAATAACGCGTGGAATTCCAAAACGCGGAAATATAACCCCTTGGAGGAATCTCAGGACCACTGATCCCTGATTAGTTGGTGCTGCTATGGCCTCGACCCACTTAGAAACATACTCCACAACGACTAAAATATATTGATTCCCATGGGAAGATGGAAATGGTCCCATGAAATCAATACCCCACACATCAAATAATTCAACAATCAAAATACTTTGCTGGGGCATCTCATTCCTTTTGGACTGGTTGCCGACCCTTTGACACCTATCACAAGCCTTGCACCAATTATATGCATCTTTAAAAAGTGTAGGCCAAAATAACCCACTTTGCAAAATTTTTTCTGCCGTTCTTTTCTGCCCAAAATGTCCTCCACAAGCAAAATGATGAGCAAACCTTAATACACTTTCTTGTTCGGCTTCAGGAATACATCTGCGAATAATCTGGTCTGGGCAATACTTAAATAGGTATGGCTCATCCCAGAAATAATGCTTCACATCAGATAAAAACTTCTTTTTCTGCTGAATAGTTAAATCTGGATGCACTACCCCTTTAACCAAATAATTAACCATATCAGCAAACCATGGTGTACAGAATTGGACTGCAAATAGCTGTTCATCTGGAAAACTATCCCTCAGTGGTAGGGAATCCTCTTCTGAAGCTGTTGGAATAATCAATCTGGACAAGTGGTCAGCCACCACATTTTCACTGCCCCTTTTTATCTTTGATTTCTAAGTCAAACTCTTGCAATAAAAGAATCCAACGAATCAATCGAGGCTTAGCATCCTTTTTAGTCAACAAATATTTCAAAGCTGCATGATCTGTATAAACAATCACTCTAGCCCCAACTAAATACGAACGAAATTTTTCCAAAGCAAAAACAATTGCCAACAATTCCTTCTCTGTTGTCGCATAATTTAGTTGTGCATCATTGAGGGTTCGACTAGCATAATAAATAACTTGGGGAAGTTTATCTTTCCGCTGTCCAAGAACTGCCCCCACTGCACAGTCTGATGCGTCACACATCAGTTCAAAAGGTAGGCTCCAATCAGGAGCTGCAATAATGGGTGCTGTAGTGAGGAGAGTCTTTAACTTCTTGAAGGCCTCCAAACAAGCCTCATCAAAAATAAAAGGAGCATCTTTCGCCAACAATTACACAAGGGTCGGCTAATCTTGGAGAAATCCTTGATGAACCGTCTATAAAACCCAGCATGGCCAAGAAAAGATCGAACACTCTTAACAGTTGTCGGGGGTGGCATCTTTTCAATTGCATCAATTTTAGCCCTATCAACTTCAATACCCCTGTTAGAAATCAAGTGGCCCAAGACAATACCCTGCCTAACCATGAAGTGACACTTTTCCCAGTTTAAAACCAGGTTGGTCTTAATGCATCTTTCCAGAACTAGAGATAAATTCTGCAAACATTGGTCAAAAGAATCCCCAAAAACAGAAAAGTCATCCATAAATACCTCAACTACATGCTCAACTAACCCGGTAAATATGCTCATCATGCAACGTTGAAATGTGGCAGGTGCATTGCACAAACCAAAAGGCATTCTTCTATATGCGAAAGTCCCAAAAGGACAAGTAAAGGTTGTCTTTTCTTGATCCTCAGGGGCAACTGGAATCTGGTTGTACCCTGAATAGCCATCCAAGAAACAGTAGAAAGCACGACCAGCCAACCTTTCCAACATTTGATCAATAAATGGTAATGGAAAATGATCTTTTCTAGTACCAGCGTTGATTTTTCTATAATCAACACACATACGCCACCCAGTAGTCAAGCGAGTAGGCACAAGTTCATTATTATCATTTTTCACAGCTGTAATACCAGAACGCTTTGGCACCACTTGAGTTGGACTAATCCACTTACTATCTGAAATGGGATAGATCATCCCAGCATCCAAAAGCTTCATAACTTCATTACGAACAACTTCTTTCATAATTGGATTCAACCGACGTTGAGCATCAATGGCAGGTTTTGCTCCATCCTCCAACAAAATTTTGTGCATACAAATTGTAGGATTGATCCCTTTAATGTCGGCTATAGTCCAGCCAATTGCATCTTGATGACTTCTTAAAATGCGCAACAATTTATCTTCTTCTGTTGATGATAAATCAGCAGCTATAATAACTGGCAGCGAAGAATCTGCTCCCAAATAAGCATATTTCAAGTGTTCTGGAAGAACCTTCAACTCCAGTTTAGGTGGCTGTACCCTAGAAGGCTGCAACAACTTCTTGGGTTCCCCCAAACTCTCAAAAACAGGCCTCCAACGTGGGGGTTGAAAATGATCACTTTCCAAAGCTGAAACGTACTCAAAACACTCTTCATCTTCTGTATTTGTGTTCTCAAACCCATGCAATACATTTAACAATGGATCTGATGTCAACGTGGCATAATTTGAGCCTGTAATAAGCTGTCAAGCACATCAACACGCATACAATCATGCACATCACCTGGCCTTTTGGTTTAGCCTCAAATAAACTGAACACAACAGATCGATCTTGCACTCTAAGTGTAAGTGTCCCAGCCTCTACATCAATTAACGTTCTGGCTGTAGCCATGAATGGACGTCCCAAAATAATCGGTGTTTTGCATATCTTCATCCATATCCAAAATCACAAAATCTGCAGGAAGGTAGAGATTATCCACTTTAATAATTAGGTCTTCTATAATACCCTTTGGATAAGCAACTGAACGGTCCGCAAGTTGTAGAATAACTGATGTAGGCTTGATTTCTCCTTGTCCTAGTCTCTGAAAAACAGAAAAAGGCATTAAGTTAATACTAGCGCCTAAATCAATTAAAGCACGTTTAAAATGAGAACTTCCAATTGTGCATGAAATTGTAAAAACTCCCTGGATCTTGTTTCTTTGGGGGCAATTTGTGAAGCAGAACAGCGCTGCACTGTTCTGTAAGAATCACTTTCTCAAAATCCACAAGCTTCTTTTTCTTTGTGCAAACATCCTTCAAAAACTTGGCATAAGACGGAATGTTTTTGATAGCATCAATTAACGGTAGATTAATCTGAACCTTAGACAAAGTCTTCATAAAATCTGTCAATTGTTGATCTTTAACTTTAGGCTTCAACCGTTCGGGATAAGGCATAGGTGGTTCATAAACACGATCCTCAACAATAACCGCACCATCTTCGGAACTGTTCACTGTCTGTTCAGAATCCTTTGAATTGGCAGATTTTTCAACATTCCCCGAATCTGTTTTTGGCTGTGAAGTCACCCGCGAATTTTTTAAGCAATTTTCATCCCTGTTATCAAAACTTTTTCCGGAACGTAGAACTCTAACTGCCTTGCAATCCGCACCTCCCCTAGGATTTGGTTCGGTTTGACTGGGAAATGTACCTGGAGCCCTTCCAGAAACCTGCAACGCAATCTGCCCCATTTGTTTTTCCATGTTTTTCACTGATGCCTGCAGATTTTGAATTTCTTGAGTGGTAGTATTTGCCAATTTTTCAATCGCAACCTCCCAGGCAGCCTTAGGTGCAGCAGGTTGCTGTACTTGCTGTTGAAATTGAGGTCTAGTGTGCTGTTCCTTATCCCACCTTAGATTAGGATGATCTCTCCAACCTGGGTTGTAGAAATTAGAATATGGGTCATATCGGGACGCTGGAAATTGTTTTAAATGCATTAACCTGCTCTGCTGTAAATTCTGGTGAAACCTCTTTATGTGGGCAGCTCATAAAATCGTGAGTTATCATGTTGCAAATGCTGCAGGCAGCTTGTAAAGGCTGTTGTACAGCAACTTGAGAACCTGGCATTTTCTCTGTAAATAACATGTCAAATTTCGCGTCAAGCCTTTTCTCCATTTTTTCAATTTGTGCTGTAACATAGGGAGAACCAGTAGACATCTCAAAAGCTGACCTAGATTGTGGCTGCTCCACTGCCCACTGCTGAGTATCTTCTGCCATTTTTTCAAATAACAAACAAGCCTCTTGTGCATTTTTTGTCTTTGTACGTACCTCCGCAAGAAGCGTTGACAAG